ATTCAAGCCACATCATAACTACTCTGCATGATGATGAAAAAGTGGTAACAAATGATCCTACACAACCTCAAAGAGCGAGGAGATCAATCAAATCCAAAACTTCATCATTCAGGTTGAATGAATATGAGATATTTCATGATCAACCCATAAAAGAAGATGGTGAACTGATTGAAGAGGTTATGATGGTTGAGTCATAACCAATTGATTATATACAAGCCATGTGGGACTAGAATTTGCAATATGCAATAGTTGAGGAGCTCAAAGCCATTGATAAAAATCACAAATGGGAGCTGGTTAAGAACTCTAGAAAGAAAGAAATAGGTGTACATGAGTTTTACAAATTGAAGATGAATCCAAATGATTGGTGGAATTGACGAACATAATAAATCTTAATTAGGAAGGGAATTATATGTGTAATTTAGTTCTCAGTAGGTGATTATTCATAGTTCAGTAAGTGGTTAATGATAGTTTAGTATGAGGATACTAATAGTTCAATAAGTGGTTGTTGATAGTTCAACATTTTGTTATTGATATTTCAGTAAATGATTACTGATAGTTCAACATGTGGTTATTGATAGTTATGCATGTGGTTAATGCTAACAATGTATGTGGTTATTATCTTGAAGTTAGTTAGCAGTAGGATCCTATATAAAGGATGTAACACATGTTTGAAAAAAAATTTAATTCCATCAATTTCATTCCAATAATACTCTCTCTCTCTCTCTCTCTCTCTCTCTCTCTCTCTCTCTCTCTCTCTCTCTCTCAATTGCTCTTTATTCTTATCTATTTTCCCTTAATTTACAAATAATTTGTAATTCAAGTTATCAAAAAAATTGGTATCTAAAGCACCAGTTTGATCTGCTCTATCCATGGCAAACTGGAGTACAACCTCCCATAAGTTCTCATCCAATCTACCAATTTTCAAGGGAGAAAATTATGATAGATGGTGTGCGCAGATGAAAGTGATATTCAGATTTCAAGATGTGCTTGAAATTGTGAATGGTGATTTCTTGGATTTAGAGGAAAATGCTACAGAGGCGTAAAGAGGTGCTCATTATGAAATACGTAGGAAATATGAGAAAGACTTGTTCTTGATCCATCAATGTGTGGATTCAAATATCTTTGAAAATATTATTGAGCAAGAAATGACCAAATATGCGTGGGATACTCTCAAGAAGTTGTATGGCCGACATGAGAATTTTAAGAAAGTAAATTTGCAATTGTAGAAGAAACAATATGACATTCTGTAAGTGAATTATGGTGAAGCCATTGTTGAGTTATTCTCAAAGTTGGTGGTTTTGACAAACCAAATGTAGTCATGTGGAGAGATGATCTTTGAACTACAGAAAATTGACAAGGTTCTAAGAGCTCTTCCTACCAAGTTTGATCGTATTTTCATGGAAATTTAGGAGTCCAAATATTTGTCAGATATGAAGCTTAAATAACTAGAAGCGTCTCTTGAAACGCGTGAGTTTAGGCTGAAACACAAAAATTCATAGAAGATGAATGAACAAGCTTTACATGCATAATTATTCAATAAGATATAAGAAGACTTCTCAAAGAATAACAAAGTTAAATAAAAATGAAAGAAGAAGAAGAAGAAGAAGAAGTAGCATTAGTAGAATTAAGATGATGGTATAGGTAAGAACTCAAGAAGTCAGGGTGAGACAAGCAAGAATTATGCAACTCTAAATTAAAAATTCAAAAAGAAGGTTGAGATGAAGGAGGTTCAACGCTATTGTTGTAAGAAGTTTATTCATTATGTTGAAGATTTTTACTTTAGCAAAGATTCCAATGGAGGTGACAATGGTGTGGCTCAGTTTGCACATGCTGGTGGTATTTATTCAGAAGATGTCATTTTGATGGTTGCAACATATTTGGCTCAAGAGATAGCAAACATGTGCTAACTTGATACATGTTGCAAAAATCAAATGACATGCAACTAAAACATGTTTATTAAACTTGATGAATCAGTGAGGAGATCCATTAGATTTGTTGATAATAACATTGTTACATTAGAAGAAATGAGAAACATTCTTGTGAAGAAAAATAATGGAGAATAAGCAATTATTTGTGATATCTCATATGCTCCTTCTATGGCAAGCAACTAGATCAGTTTAGGTCAATTTCTTGATAAAGACTATAAAATAAAGTTAGAAGATAGGGAGCTCAAGGTGTTTGGTGAAAGGTCTAAGCTAATTTTGAAGGAACCTTTATTAACAAGCAAAACATTAAAGATAATGATCAAGAAGTTAGACCATCAATGTCTTACATCAACTATAGTTGGAGATCAAAATTTGATTTGACATCAAAGGTTTGGTCATCTTAATTTTAGAACTATCAGCTTTATGCACATGAAGAAGATGGTGTATGATATTCTAGAGATCACAATGCCAAAGCATCTATGTGGGGACGGTTGCATTGCCAAGTAGGCTAAAAGGTCATTCAAACAAGACTTGTCAATAAAGTCACAATAGAAATTAGAGATAATGCACTCAGATGTGTGTGGTCCCTTTGAAGTGAAGTCACTAGGAGACAATTGCTACTTCTTAATCTTCATAGACGAATTCACTAGATATAAGTGGAATTATCTATTTGAGTAGAAAAGTGAGGTTTTCTCCAATTTTAAGAGATTCAAGTTACTAGTATAGAAGAAGGATGAATGTGCAATATGAAAAGATTGAGCACATATGGTGGTGGTGAGTACTCCTCAACTAAATTTGCTCAATTTTGTGAAAAGGAAGATACTGGGCATTAAGTAAGAACAATGTAACACCTCATCTAAATGGTATTGTCGAAAGGAAAAACAGAAGTACCTTGAGTATGGCTAGAAGCATGCTCAAGGAAAAGCATATGCCTATGCATTTTTGGGGTGAGGCCACTTCATCTGATGTGGACATCATCAATAGATTCTTATAAAGAAGTTAAATAAAAAAACACCCCATGAAGCTTGGTTAGGTTTGAAGCCAAGTGTTTTTCATTTGAATATTTTTGGCTCACTGTGTTTTAGACATGTTCATGAATAACGCAAAATAAAGTTAGACGATAAAAGAAAATCTAGGGTTCTAGTTGGATATCATTCATTAGGTGCTTATAAGTTGTTCTCACCAATTATGATCAAGGTGGTAATTAGTAGAGATATGGAGTTTGATGAAAGTAAATGTTGGAATTGGCTGAAAATCCAGGGAAATCAAGTTCAAGAAGGTGAAGATTCAAGCCACATCAAAACTACTTTGCATGATGATGAACAAGTTGTAATAACTAAGCCTACACAACCTCAAGGAGTGAAAAGATCAATCAAAGCCAAAACTCCATCAGTTAGGTTGAATGTGTTAGACGAGGGCAAGGATATAAAAAGGGGATTGAATAGATAGCCAGATAAAAATTTTCTTATTAAAATTCTATTTTGAAAAATAATTTTCTGTGGCAAGCAAAAGCGAATTTGGATGGACTCTCGTCTATCTATAATGTTATTGGTAGAATCGGATATGAGTATAAACTGTAGTAAACATATACTAAAGATGAGAAAAGCAAACCAACAAGTTCAATATATTTTTTTTAAATATAAACCACACTAAGATAAATGATTTCCAATGAAATATAAAAATAAACTTGACTAAGGAAATTTATCGAACACTTAGTGTGTAGTCAATTTATTAAATACTTGGTGTGCAATACACCAAGCTTAATTCTCTTTGTGTTAAAGGTGTAACAAATCAATTCCAATTGTTTAGATTGCAATGATTTAAAAAAAAATTTCAAGACATCATAACACAACCAGAATTTTCAACAATTCAGTTTACAAACTCAGTGTATTTAAAATGTAAAAAGAGTGTGTGTGGGGAGGGGGGTGGATATTAACAATGGATGACCTATGGTCTGGCCGGTAGGCTCTGATACCATATTAGAGTTTGGTCTAACTCATTCTCAAAAAATCAAGACACGCCACTTTATATAAAACTTTTTTCAAACTCTATGTATAACTAATGTGGAACTTAAGATATTAATACATCTCCTCAGGCCCAACATTATTGGACTTGATGTGTGAATATGAATGATGACTGGCTTGAATTATCGGTATGTTGGACTCGCTTGAATTATATGAGAAAAAGAATCAAATATCATTTTATGAAATTATTATTTATTAATAACTATAGTAAATAAATATAAAAAAAAATAATAATAATAAATACCGAGACATCAAATTTTAAAGCGAATTTCAAGATGAATTTCCACTTCACCTTACCTTTTAAAGTGAATTTTAATCACTAAATTACTTTAAAGAAATCATTACCTTTATTAATTTTAAAGCTAACTTATAATTTAATACTATTACATATAATAATTTTGAACGGACAGAGTACGCATTAATTTAACCTGGCATGGGGCCAATTCTAAAATTTACAAATGAGTCAATGATCACATAACTCATAAAATTAAGATTCTCTCCCCTTCTTCAATTAGAAGGCGACATCAATGGGGACCCATAAGGCCCCTAAATTCTTGAACTAATGTTTGGCCATTTGGGACAATCTCCTTTATAATTGTTCTACTTTCCATTTTATTCCCATAAAAATTCTCACCCAACCCATCAAGGATCTTTTCAACACTTCATACATTTCCAAATCTTAAACCAATCATCCAAATTTTAAATTTGACTTTTATGTCCATGAACATAATCTACTAACATACTACAAAATACTTAAATTAATTAGATAATCACTTAACTATACATAAAGTCTCTGATTAATCATGAGAAATAAGAACAAATTAAGTATTTAAAAAACTAAAACTCCTAGCTACACTAGACCTAGAATAGGCCATGCCCCCAAACCCAAAAAAGACAATGGGTCAAATAAAAAACATCATAGACCCACAAAATCATTTCTTCTAACCACCATATCTTAAAACAGTACTTTGAACACAGACATCATAAAACGCTGTTTCAACTAAAACTTACATGTTACAACTGTTTTTTTATTATTGCATAACCGTACACGTTAAGATCTACTAGGACGAAGTGTATCAAACGGCCTATGCTGAACCGTTGGATACACGGGAAACGATCGAGTATGATTCGGAGCCATAGGATGACGACGCGTGGCAGCATCAACGGCAGATGATGGAACAGCGACACGCTCACAAGAAGGGCACATGGTAAGTGTTGTAGGTGGTGTCATTTGCATGTAGAATTGTGGGGAAAGTTTCAGTGCTCTCAGCTCTTGTACTTCTTTTTGCAACCGGCGATTTTCATCCGTTAGATTCTCACAACATCGCTTCAAAAACTCACAATCTACCTCCGTTTGTTTCAGCTTAGTCCTGAAAAAAATAAATTCAAAAAATAAATAATTAAATTAATCATGGATAAAAATTAAATAGAATATTAATTAATTAATTAAATAAAACAAACCTTGCTCTACGATTTTGAAACCACACTTCAACTTGTCTTGCACGGAGGCCTAATTGTTTTGCAAGTGCCAATTTTTGTTTCTGCCAATAAAAAAACAAAAATTAGCTAAAAAAAACTAAACTAATTAGGATTTAGAGAATTAATGGTGATTAATTAGTACTTACGGGGTTAAGAGTGTTGTGTTCCTTGAAACTTTCTTCGAGGATAATAGATTGGTCTTTGGTGAGTCTGAGTTTTTTTCTGGAAGTTTCAGCGTCTTCTTCATCACTGATTCCTCGTGAACAATCTCTCTCCATGTCAAGATCTTCACCGGTGATTTCTCTTTCGCTTCGTTTACCGCTCACACTGGAAACCGTGCTGTTCGGAGACGAGACGCCGGCTTCTTCTTCACAGTTAGCGTCGGAAGGTAACCGATTGACGTCGATTCCTCGGAGTAACGGTTGTTCTTCGCCGGCTCTGCATGGTTCTGAATCCCGATCTGCATGTAAAAATAAGATGGTTAAAAGGTGGAAATATTTGGAGGAGTTGGACTAGATCTGAGGATGGAATGATAGATGTACCTGAAGAAGTGAAAGCATTGATCCATGAAGGTTTGTGAGGATTGTAGGTGGAAGGAGAAGAGGAATGAGTTGAAGAAGACATGAGATTAAGGTATTGAGGTTTCGGTGGATTTTGAGGGAAGTTTAAGCTAAGGCTCAAACCCAAATCTTCGTTTTCAACCGTCATGTTTTCTAACCTTGTAAGACAAGTAAGAAAACAAAAGTGTTTTTTGGTTTTGGGCACTAAGAAACTGAGTTTGAGTTACTTGAGAGAGAAGAGTGAAAGAGAAGAAGCTTTTTGAAAAGAGAGAGAGAAATGGGAGAGATGAATACAAAGTGGGGAGGGAAGGTTGTGGGGAATATATAGAAAGGAGAGGAAATGGGGGTAGTGGGGAGTGGTGAGTTCAACCATGACTTTATGTCAGGTCATCAAGTCCAATTATGAATTATCTGAATCATGGGTCTTGCCCCCTACCCCAAATAATGATACTCTATGCTTTTTGACCATTTTTCTTGGGTCTTTTTTTTATTATTTGGAAAAAATGTAGTATTAATTGTTTATCTTCATTCTTATGTTTCAAAACGTTTAAATTTTTGGTCAAAATACTAAAATTCAAATCATTTTTTAACTTTGTTTTAGTTTTATTTAGTTTTTGTTTTAAAATATTATAATTTTATAATTTTTAAATAAAGGTAATAAGTTGTTATATTTGACTATATTAGTCATCCTCATCACAATAGTGACACATTCTAGAGTTAAATTTCTAACTATCTAAAAAATATATATAAGATATTCATTTGAAGAAATAATAAAATGACATTAAAAATTTTTAAAAAATTATTAGGAAACAAATTGATGAAAGAGTTCAATATTTTATTGTTCGTTTATTTATATCTCATAATAGTTTTTTTTTTAAAACTTGACTAGAGAATTGTAATACTTAATTTATTAAAAAAATTACATATGTATATTTATTTTGATTTTGCAGTAAATTAAACTTAATTAATATAGAATTCTATAACAATTTTTTAAAATGTAGTCAAAATAATCAATTAATATGGTATATGTGTCAGTTATAGAATTTCCTCTCATGATGGTATGAGTAAAACATTAATATAAATTTCTCAAACTATTAGTTTTTGGACCAATCCCTAATATTTGATTACAAGGTTCTCATAAATTATTTGATTTGTCAAAAACGTATTGTAAATTTTATAATTCAAAATATATTTTTTAACTGCTTGTAATATAGAAATTCGAACCTCTCATATATGTCCTGAAATTCTTATTTTTCATTACTTATACATTTCTCTTGAAAACTCAATGTCTTGTCTTGATTTTCATCAAACATGTTAGAGTAAACATTATAACCAATCAGTATTAAATGTATGAGTCTTTAGAATAAATAGTTTGGTTAATGACACCTTAAGTGTGACTTAATTATAAGATTTTATTAAATATTAATATATTGTTCTTAAAGTATTTGTAATCAATTTTTAATGTTATCTAATAGTGATGCATAAAGATTATTAAGTAAATAGATTGATAATCATATTCATGAGTCGTGGATATGAGATATCAAGTATTTACATATATATCAATATTAAAAATTAAATTTATAGTACTAGATCCATCAACTATAAGAATACTACATAGTGTGTTATGTAAGTGTCATAAATTATTATCATGTTGATAATAGTATATGAATTTCTTTGATTTGAAACTACTATGGACTCTATATGTGAAGTCAAGTATTTAATTATCTTTCAAACGTTGTCGGTAACAGAATGATCATAAAGATTGTTGATTGGTTCTCCACCAATTTTGTTGAGGACATGAGACCTAGATGAGATTTACTTCTCTTACATATACACGAGTAATATCTATGGGTCTCTTGATCCAATATAACTGTGAAATGTATGATTGCGTTGAAATTAATTAGTATAAGATATTGAGTTTATTTGTTGTTATCAAGTATATTCGAGGATCAAAGAATATCATATTGGACTACAATATGACACATTCTATATTTTGTGTTCAATATTAATATAAGGACAAAAGGATAATTATACAAATGATCATTATCATAGAAAGGATTTGTGATATCATATGACATTCTCGCTACTTGGACGGTAGTGCTGTGTTGCTAGATATTTAAATGTAACAAGAACCTACAAGATCACACGCATAGCGTATAAAAAATAAAATAATTGATTGAATTAAATAAAATTTAATTTAATTAGATTTTAATTGTATTATTTAATACATTAACACAAATATAGTTCATTTGATTAAATATAGTTTAAATAAAAGAATTAGAATTAATAATTAATTTAATTAATTATGATTTAATTTAATAAATATTTTATTTATTTTATTAAAAGACTATGATTAAATATAAATAAGATTGTGTTTATTTTAGAAAAGTTAAAAATAAGAGTATTAGGATAGCTAATTAATATTATTGTCAATGTAACGAGAATCTATAAGGTCACATATATAGAGTATAAAAAATAAAATAAATGATTAAATTAAATAAAATTTAACTTAATTAAATGTTAATTATATTATTTAATACATTAACACAAATATAATTCATTTGATTAAATATAATTAAAAAAAATAGAATTAATAATTAATTTAATTAACTATGATTAATTTAATTAATATTTTATTTTAATTTCTTAAAAGACTATGATTAAATAAAAATAAGATTGTGCTTATTTTAGAAAAGTTCAAAATAAGAGTATTAGGATAGCTAATTAATATTATTGTCAATTTAACGAGAACTTACACGGTCACACGCGTAGAGTATAAAAATAAAATAAATGATTGAATTAAATAAAATTTAATTTAATTTGATGTTAACTATATTATTTAATATGTTAACACAAATACAATTCATTTTATTGAATATAGGTTAAATAAAAAAATTAGATTAAATATTATTTTAGTATGGTCGAATGGTAGCTTCTGGTTCGACAGGAATTAAACATGAGGTCGAAGTATGTTTGCATGTTGTTGTCGAAGTAATGCGTGTTGCAATCGAAGTTTGTTCTAATATGCATTAGTCAATATTGCTAGGTTGTTAGCATGTTGAATTGGGCCTTGCTTGTAAGTCCAATTATTTAAGTTAGCTTATAGTGGTAATTGTTAAAAAGCTCATTAGGTTAGTGTGCTATTTTTCTTATAAATAGGATGCTAGTTTCTCAATCTTGGCATAAGAAAAAATAGGAAGATAAAATCATAATTTCAAGAGAGAGGGGTTATTTTGTTATTCTTGTATACTTGTAATCTTATTCTAAGAGAAAGGAAAGAATAGCAGTTTAATAATCAATCCTTGTTGTTCCTTGTTGTTTTACCTTGTCTTCTTTGTTAATCCTAACCCTTGTGTGTTTCTTGATCATTAAGAAACTGATTTATAATTTGTTTAAAGACATCCGCTCCACAACAAATTGGTGCGGAGAGCGTGGAGAAGATGCCTTCAACAAAGTATGAGATCGAAAAGTTCACTGGAGTGAACGACTTCGGTATGTGGCGCTTGAAGATGAAAGTCCTACTGGTTCAGCAGGGTTGTTTGGAAGTGTTGAAGGGTGAGGCAGCCATGGACGCTGCATTAACGAGAAAAGAAAAGACATGCATGATTGAGAAATCCCACATCGCAATATTGTTGAGCCTTAGTGATAAGGTTCTTTGACAGGTATCAAAGGAGACTACAACTTCAGGATTATGGGTGAAACTTGAAATTTTGTACATGACCAAATCTCTGGTGAATCGACTCTACCTGAATCAAGCTTTGTATTCATTCAAGATAAGTGAAGACAAAGTGTTGGTTGGGAAGTTGGATATGTTCAACAAGCTGATTCTTGATCTTGAAAATATTGATGTGAAGATCGATGATGAAGATCAAGCACTGTTGCTACTGTGTGCTTTGCCCAGAACACATGCTCACTTCAAAGAAACTCTCTTGTATGGAAGGGAGTCTCTGACCTTTGAAGATGTTCAATTATCCTTGTATTCTAAGGACTTGAACGAACGAAAGGAGTATAAACGTTCGACGGTGGACGAAGTTTTGGCTGTTAAGGGAAAATTCTTGCGAAAGGATGATAAGTTCGACAAGTAGAAAGGTAAAAGTCAACATAAATCTTATAGTGGTGAAACATCTGGTATTCGATGTTATCAATGTAAGAAGGAGGGTCACACAAGAAAGGTATGCACTGAACGCCTAAAAGATCATGGAGGTAATGGCAACGCAGCCATTGTTCAAGATGACTTCGACTCATTTGATGTTCTTGTGGTTTCAAGTGGAGACTCGAGAAAAGACTGGATTATGGATTCAGGTTGTACTTGGCACATGACTTGAAACAAAGAATTGTTTAAGGAGTTGTATGATCAAGATGGTGGATCTATGCTGCTGGGAAACAAAAAATCTTGCAAAATTGCAAGAATTGGATTTGTGAGATTCAAGCTCCGCGATGAGTTAATAAGGTTATTGACTGAAGTCAGGTATGTACCTGACTTGAAGAGAAATTTGATTTCTCTTGGTGAATTTGACAGAATGGGATATGTTTTTCAAGGACAGAAAAGTATCCTAAGAGTCATGAAGGGGTCGAAGGAAGTCTTGAGAAGCGTGAAGAAACAAGGCTTGTATACCCTTGAGGTTGAGGTTGTAAGTGGTTTGACAAATGTTGTATTCACGAAACCTGTGTCGAAGACAGAATTATGGCACATAAGATTGAGACATGTCAGCGAAAGAGGCCTGGTCGAATTGGGGAAGCAGAACTTGCTAGAAGGTGACAAAGTCGAAAATTTAGAGTTTTGTGAATCTTGTGTATTTGGTAAATTCTGTAGGGCGAAGTTTAAAAAAGGTAAGCAAAGAACACATGGATCCCTGGATTACATTCATGCTGATCTTTGGGGGCCTGCAAGGATTCTTTCACACTCAGGTGGAAGGTATTTTTTATCCATCGTTAATGACTATTCCAAAAAGCTATTGGTATTCATTCAGAAGACGAAGGATGAAACTTTTGAGAATTTCAAAAGTTGGAAGATTCTGGTCGAAACTCAAACTGGCAGAAAGATCAAGAGGTTAAGAACCAACAATGGCCTTTAATTCTACAATGAAGCGTTCGATAGTTAATGTCTTGAGTATGGGATTGTAAGGCATAAGACTGTAGCAAGTACAC